CCCCCCCCCCACCAGGAGACCCCTCACCTCCACCACGGACTGGCTGCCGTCGGGGTTGATGCGGAACGAGCCCATCTGGATGGTTTTCCTGGGGTCAACCTGGGAGATCTCCCACTCCAGCTCGTCCACCAGCGCCCGGCACGCTGCGGGGGACACGGGTGTCAAGGTCCCAAATCCCACTCGCTGCGGGGGACACGGGTGTCAATGTCCCAAATCCCACACGCTGCGGGGGACACGTGTGTCAAGGTCCCAAATCCCACACGCTGCGGGGGACACGGGTGTCAACGGCCCCGACCCCACACTCTTTGGGGGACACGGGTGTCAACGTCCCTGACCCCACACGCTGTGGGGGACACGGGTGTCAATGTCCCAAATCCCACGTGCCGTGGGGGACACGGGTGTCAACGTCCCCAACCCCCTGTGGGGACACGGGTGTCAACGTCCCTGACCCCACACGCTGTGGGGGACACGGGTGTCAATGTCCCAAATCCCACGTGCCGTGGGGGACACGGGTGTCAACGTCCCAAATCCCCTGCGGGGGACACAGGTGTCAACATCCCCGACCCCACACACTGTGGGGGACACGGGTGTCAAAATCCCCAACCCCCTGCAGGGACACAGGTGTCAACGTCCCCGACCCCCTGTGGGGACACGGGTGTCAACGTCCCTGACCCCACGCACTGCGGGGGACACGGGTGTCAACGTCCCCAACCCCCTGTGGGGACACGGGTGTCAAGATCCCCAATCCCCTGTGGGGACATGGGTGTCAACATCCCCGACCCCACACACTGCGGGGGACACGGGTGTCAACGTCCCCACAACGTCCCTGACCCCACACGCCGTGGGGGACACGGGTGTCAACGTCCCCAACCCCACACACCGTGGGGGACACGGGTGTCAATGTCCCCAACCCCATGTGGGGACACAGGTGTCAATGTCCCTGACCCCACATGCTGGGGGGGACACGGGTGTCAACGTCCCCGACCCTCAACCCCACACACCCCACACACTGTGGGGGACACGGGTGTCAACGTCCCCGACCCCACACGCTGTGGGGGACACAGGGGACGTGGGGGACACAGGTGTCAACGTCCCCGACCCTACACTCTGTGGGGGACACGGGTGTCAATGTCCCCAACCCTCTGTGGGGACACGGCCATCAACATCCCCGACCCCACACCAGCCCCTGGCATGGCCAGACCTGCGGCTGAACTGGGAATAACTGGTGTAACTGGTGCTGCTGGCCAATGGGGACGGAGGGAAGGGGGGGTCCCGGGGCACCCACGTCCCTTTGTCCCCAAGTGGGGTGGCATCGGCCGCAGGACACGCAGGTCCCGACGGCCACCCTGTCCCCTCACCACCGTCCCTCCCAGTCCCTCCCAGTGCCTCCCAGTCCCGTCCCACCTCCGCAGTGCAGGTCCTGGCTGCGGCGGGCGCCGGCGGGGGGGGGGAGCAGCGCGGCCACGGCCATGGCCAGACCCAGCGCGGGGGGGATCCGGCCCCTCATCCTCACGGCTCCGTTGTAGGGCCACCTGTGGGCACGGGGGGCTCCAGTGATGGTGGCCCCCGTGTCCCCCCACCCCCGTGTCC